GGGGTTCGTAATAGCCTATATAAACCAATCATAAAATTGTCATTAGGAAAATATAAGACAACAATATTATAGAATGCAAATTATTGGTTATTGTCCAGCAGTGTATTTGATTTCATATAGCCAATTAAAAATAAGAGATAAAAAATGAATAAAACCTGTCAATTAGACAAAAGTAAATAAATAAATAAATACATTCTGGCTACACCCCCTGCTGCAGCCCACCCCTCTATCATTATGCCTCAATTAGCTAGTTATAGATTACGAGTTGTTGTTTTAGGTGTAGCCTACAGATGACTTGTTGCTGTGTTTAATAATGTATGTTGTTAGGATAACATTCTGTTCCGTAAATGCATTGTCTGCTGGTTTATTTAGCTACTTTACAGTGCACCACATTAAGTATACCACTTAGTAGGCTACTGTAAGACTTTGAATGTTAAAGTGCAAATCACCACCTGACCACTCTTGTGGGTTTGCTACTGTTGCAATTAAAATCATAGAAGGGTAAAAACATGCCAGGCAGACATTGGTATGATGTAAGCAACACTACAACAAATAAATTGCTAATGGTGTATTATAGTGTGCGAATAATCAAGCATTGACAATAATCAGTTGTATTGGCAGCACCAAGGGGCCCCCAAATAAAATTCTGCTTAGGGCCCCATAAAGGCTTGGGCCGGCCCTGCATCCCTAAATAGACCCTGAGAACAATTAAAAAAGCTTTATTTTGAAGAGTTTATTTGTTTTACAGATGTTTTGAGAATTTATAAATTATATTCTTTTTTGAGAATGTTACGAGAATTTATAAATGCATGGCTCAGTGGATCTGGGGAAGGAAATATGACTTTCTCCACAACATGGACGGTGAGAACAGACCCGTTTGTAAATTTGCAATTCAATGCGAATAACTAGCAAGCTCATTTCATGCTGTGATCCCTCAGATAAAACCGTGCCTTCTACTCTTCTGGAAAGTGAGACGAGAGACTATAGTGCTGAGAAAAGAAAGAGACATTGATCTTCTGGATTTCAGTGATGGCGATCCTTTCATGGTATTATATGCACATATAACACATACTATAATAAAAGATCATTTAATCCCCCTCATGTAGTTTCAAACCCATGACTTTCTTTCTTCAGTAGAAAACAACAGGAATAATCATGCTGCTTTTTTCCTCATTCATCGTGACCACCAGAGGTCACACTTACCTTAAAAAACATACAAATAGGCTACTGTGTATCATTTAAACTGATAAAAAAAAAGAAAGAAAACCATTTAAACAAAAGTGCATATGCTTTCATTTGAACCATATTTATCAATAATATCTGGAGAGAGCATTTCCATTCATCTCAAACTTATGATTTCAGTGAATAACAACTTTAATTTCAACTGAAATGTTTCTCTCACCCTTTTAATGAAGTGATGCTGCTATGCTTTTCCACTGCAGACAGAGAGAAGCTGCTGATCTGTATGGGATCAGATTCCCGTCTAAAGTATTGCAGTCACTGATAAAAAAAATAGCAAGCGTAAAAACAAAATTTAAAAACGCAAGTAAAAATATATTGCACACGATTTAAAAATGAAAGCAAAGTTTTCAGCAAACGAATACCTCGTTTATAATGGGTTTTAATGTTTTTAAACGGCCGGACAGGGAATCACAGTATGTGAGGGGCGTAACATTTCCGTCACACGCTTGAGGTATTCGGCCAATCACAACGCACTGGATAGCTGGCCAATCACAGCACACCTCGCTTTTTCAGACCGATGAGCTTTGTAAAAATCGACGCGTTTCAGAAAGGCGGGGCATAGAGGAGAAACAATAATGTACAGTATGTGGAAAATAATGTGTTTTTTTAACTTTAAACCGCATAAACACATTTCATTACACCAAATAATGTTCTTTTTAGCAGCATCATATGACCCCTTTAAATCACTTGTTCTAGTATTTTGAACAAATATTTTAGACAGATGATCATTAATTTCACAAAGGTCAAGATTTTTCTCTATAATAGAAATAGAAACTTCTGACTTGCACTAAAAAGAATAGTGTAGAATTGATAAACGTCAAGCCCAACTACAGATCAAAAGCGGACACCTCCTTTAAAATGTGAACCGTTGTTTTGGATAAAAATCACCACACAAGTTTGGTAACAGATTTCTGTGGCCAGTTTCATTTTGGTGAAACTAATTTAAACCCTGAAAAAAATGACAAGTCACAACTGAAGTTTCCAGATGTTTTATTGATGTTAAACTGACAATGTTGTTAACTTTTAGGCAGTTTGTTTGGCAGTTTAATCAAACAGGCCGAAGCCCATGTCTCCATCAGACTCCTCGGACTCCTCTTTGGGCGCCTCCTCTTTGGCCGCAGGAGCTGCAGATTTCACCTCCACAGCCGAAGCAGCTGGAGCTGCAACAGCGAAAGCGGTGGGATCAGCCAGGTAGGCCTTCACCTGCGGAGGACAAGCGTCAGACATGCTTTTAGTGCCAGGGAAGGCAGAAAAATGTCCATCAGAACTGTCTTGAGACCAAGCATCCCCGTCTGTCGGGACCATCGACTGTATAAAAACATGGACGTAGTGTCCGTGACATAACCCGTAGACTTCCGACAAGCGTTTTGAAGCCTAAAGTAGGCGGAGCCAGCCGTCGCCATCTTGGCAGCGAGTCACTCCCGGATAATCAAAAATGGGCAAAGAGGCGGGAGCTGGCTGCTGAAACCACGCCCACCTAGCTCGACGGTGGTGACAGCAGTTTAAGTCACTTCCGTGTTGGCTTCACGAGAGAGAGCGGGGAGGTTGCCGCTCGGTCGGGACGCATCTCACTATGTGCAGGACTGAACAACAAAACACGCATCAGCCGTTTCGTAACCAATGTTCCCTCTAATTTTTTTTCTTGTCGAGCAAAACTTCTCTATTGGGCGGACATTTCGGCCACCTGAGCAAAAACATTCTTTATACCAGACCTGTACAGCGCACACACACACAAAAAGTGTGTTAACTTAACTTTAATGTGCTATTTGCATTTAATTTGACCCGTGACTAAATGACGTACATTTTAGGTTGCCTTTTTTTTTTTGTAACTGTATAATACACTGCCATTCAAAAGTTTGGGATCAATAATGTTTATTAAAGAAGATATTAAATATATTAATTGTATTTTTAATACAAATGAGTATATTAACACAAAAAACAATTATATTTAATATTAATTTTCTAAACAACTTAAAGGCACAATGTAATTTTCGCCACTGGAGGGCATGTATTCAAAATAAACAATGAGACAAAGGCATAGCTTGATGACGGTGTGACAGTGTGGAATCATGGGAGTTGTGGTCTTCATCCTCACAGCCGATGCAATCCAACGGGACTCGGGCAGAAGTCATGTTCATGGATGAGCTAATGATTTATTAACGTAGTAGAATGAAGCAGGGTGAGGCTGAAAGCCGTCGAAGTGAAACGAGGCGCTGAACGAGCGCGACACAGCTGGAAAGCAGCGGAGCTTTTATTATGCCACAGTCGAGCGCTTCGGCTGCTTCCGGTCGTGCGTATGTGGGGTAAAGCAGCTCTGTTTTATCATACTAGATGCATTTGAAAGTTCTGTTATAATGCTACTCTGTGCGGTCGTCACCGGT